GGCAGCAATGACAGATTTCATAGGTGCCACTGAATTTAAAATCTCCAAGCAGTGATTATTAAAACACTGTGTAGCAACATCAGCATCAGTGCAGCCACTGATCACATGAGGGTCCAACATATTAGAAAACTTCAAAGCAACATCCTGATTTATGAACCGCTTATGGAACATGAGATTAGAAGGTGGTGCGTACAGTGGGAAGCTAAGACTAAAAGTAACACAGGAATGGTCATTCACTTGTACGTCTTTAACACAGACATTAGTTATGTCTAAGCCAAGAGAAAACACAAGGTCCAAGGTGTGGCCTTTAACATGGGTGGGTCCAGAGACATGCTGAATAAAACTAAAAGAGTCTGTAGTGGATAGAAAGTCAGAGGCCATGCTACAGCTAAGATCATCCACGTGGAGGTTGAAATTCCCAATCATTAAGACTTTCTCCAGTTTAATAATGGAAGATAAAAAGTCCGTAAAGTCTTTAATAAAAACACCAGCGGGGCCGGGAGGGTGGTAAATTAAAACACAATAAAATATATCTGAAGAACCAACCTTAAGAAGTTGTGACTCAAAGGAAGGGAAAAACTCAGAGTCCATAGTCCTGCAAGCGAAATTGTCTCGGTGAATAGTGACCAGACCACCACCACGACGGTCCAAACGCGGAGTCCCGATGAAGCGACAGCCGCCCGGGCAGAGCTCATTAAGGTGGATAAATTCATTCTCCCGCTGCCAAGATTCCGTGAAAAACATGAAGTCCAGACTATTACTGCTAAAAAAAGTCATTCAGTACAAAAGATTTGTTGGCTATGGAGCGAGCATTCAGGAGAGTTATCTGAAGCGGAGGTGACAGGCTGACATCATCAACAGCTGATTGACAGGGAATTGACAGCAGACACCTGGAATGAGGACGTAGTCTCCCGGTACCTCTAGCTGTGGAATTGTGGTCTTGTAGAATGATAGGCCAAAGTGAAAACATCCCGCATCTCCAGACAAGACGCCGATCCAGGTAATCGTTCTGTTCGCCCGTGATGAAAAGCCGGGTAGGTAGTAACCGATCGGCCTTATCCGCGTCCTGGAGGGGAACCGGTACCAAATACCGGAGACGTTCTCTACCATGGAGCGGAAGAAATCCCCTCTGTTGGGCGCGTTTCCTTTTAGCCTGGACACCAGACCTACAGCCCCTTCTAGACGACCTCCTTAACCTTGTTTTTGCTCCTGGGTTATTGTTTGGAGCTAAGAACAGGTACCGGTAGTCGGGAGAGGGAGGAGGGCAGACAAACGGCGGAGGGAAAGCCTGGTGGTAGCTCTGCCAGCTGTCAAAAGTTTTTTCCATACATATTTTGATACTCAACAATGTATGCGAACTGTAGATCCGAGTAGCAATTAGACCTTCATGATATATCACAGATGAGATGACAAGATAAAAAACAATATACTGAAGCAGTCGACAAAAACACGGAGCAGCAACAGCGGCCAAGCCGAACACAGGCGCCATGTTGCAAGCCAAGGTATGGAAATAAGCCAGACACAGAGCAATGACCATGCTATGATATAGTGAAGGAGGACATGCAGAGGGTTGGTGTGACAGAGGAGGATAATAAGGATAACGTGATACAGAGGATCCGCTGTGGCGATCTCTAAAGGGAGCAGTTGAAAGAAGAAATGGTGGCATTTGAGTGTTATCTTATAGTAGGTGAAATATGTGTAGTAGACAGTGACACTCCATTCACTGCTGTTTGCCTGTGCAGCCTGTGTGTTTGAGTTAAAATAATACCCTTGTAGTGGTAGCCCAAAAACACACTGAAATTTATAATCACACAAATGCAAAAGGTTTAATAGAGTTTTGTCAAACTACATACATACACTACATTTTCAGGATCCATCATTTCAGCTCAATTGTCAAAACAGATGTTGAGCCTGTGCAAAAGACTGCTGCAATGGGACAGTGATAAACATGTTTGTTTTTTTTGGGCTTTTTATTGCAGACTAATACATGTGGATGAACCACTCAGTGAATAACTCCCTTATAAATCTGTATTTGCGCATTTGCTCCCAGGTTCAGGTAGTTTCCGTGAGAGCCCCAGGCCCAGCGGTCAGGATCCCAACCTGTGGACAGTAGATGAAGTCATGCAGTATATCAGGGATATCGACCCAGTTCTGGCCCCACATGCTGACCTTTTTAGAAAACATGTACGTATCCATTCATTCATTCATTTATATGAATAAATGTATAGTGAATGTTTCAAACGTGTCAGTTTTATTCATCACTTTTGAGCAGCTCTGTTTAAAAGAGGAAAAAACAAAAAGGTTTATTTTTCCTCTGATTCCTCTGCTACAGGAAATTGATGGGAAAGCCCTTCTGTTGCTGCGTAGCGACATGATGATGAAATACATGGGTTTGAAGCTCGGCCCTGCCCTCAAACTCACCTTCCACATTGACAAGCTTAAACGGGCTTGACGACATCAGTCAACCAGACGCAGCCTTCTGAAGGACTTAACTGTATCGCCACCTCCATGTTCTAGGTTCAGTATATCATGCACTTCATAATGGACATATGCTGACAATTTACATGTAGCAACTTCCACTACTCCATCCAGTATACACGCCCTTGTTCTGACCTCATTCAGTCAGGGATGTTTATTTTGTGTAGCACAATCCAGCCCTAAGGCAGCATGGGATAGGGGTAGGATCAGCCACTCGTCTGTCATCAGTTTTGCATTTCAGTCTAACTTGAAGAATCATATGTGGCCATTTTAACTGTAAAAGGCCTTTTGGCCTGCTTTTATTATGTTACATTTTATCTGTACATTTCATATTTTGTACTTCATGAATACAAGTATACGGACTTTTTCAGTGTTTTGTGTTGGAATATGCTAAAAAAAGAAAACCCTAAAGGAAGAAAAGAAATGCTACATCCCAATAGTTGGGATTTCTTCCGATCAGTCTCTGTTTGAGGCATAATTTTGCAACTACAACAGTAATAATTATGATTAGAAAAACGTGTTTTATAAAACTTTATTCTGAGAAAAACTGCCATCAAGATGGGGTTGTTCTCTTATTCTGGATGTTGTTTACAATGCCTTGTCTTGTCTTTGTTATTTGTACTTTTTTAATTTTTTATACTATATTATTAGAGTTCCTACATGGAGAGCCCTATCATGCTTAACATTGTTCAATAAATATATAATAATTCAAGTCTCCTTTTTCTTGTTTTGTTTTGTTTGGTCACAAATTCCTATATATATCCTGCATTAACTGTCTGCTGTTACACACATGACGCGCAACATTCAAAAAGCTGAAACTTGAAAATCGTTCACAAGAATAGATAAACTGTATTTTGATGATCACATTTAGTTTGTTGAGAGTTTTGCCCGCCAGCAGAGGGCAGCATATAGCTGTCAACCTTTTTTCGGTCATGTCCTTACATCTCTCCTAGAGACACTGCCATGCACTACCATGGGTGGGCATATCTCCATCTGTTAGACAGCATGATAATATCAGTGATATTTTTAGACCATGTAAGGCCTATTTCACATGGCTGCCTCTGTTATATGTTCACATGTTTCTTCTTTGTTAGTACCATATCCTTTTGTACATGTTATTTCATTAATCCTCCAGTATTTAAAAATGTCTTATGGGTATTTAAAGACAGACTCATTTTTATTTCTAAAGCAAATAATATATGCACAAATATAGTCATTTCTCCAGGAAAAAAGGGGATCAAAAGAAGATTAAAAATCATAAGTTTTAACTTAAATGATAACAATCCTTAATACAGTGCAACTTCAGAAATAACACAGAAACTTAAGAGTTTCAAATAAAAATGTTAAATTTTAAAGGAAACCATAATTGTTTAAAAGAGATTAAAAGATACTTGGCAAATCGAGTTCCTCAGGAAGGTTGTTCCCAAAACTTAGGAGCTCTGCAGTTGCTTTGTTGCCTTTATGGTGAAGTGGGAACTGTTTCCTGCCTGAGGATGTCAGGCTGTAAAGAGACAGTAATTCTAAAACAAATGGGCAGTCAGTCCAGGCTTCAACTAACAGAGTTATCATTTGCTGCTGCATTTTAAGCAATATAAAGTCTACGCTATGTTTTTGTTTTTTGTTTTTTTTTTTTGTGGGGGGTGGGGGTGTCTGATTGATTATCTGATAAAGGAACATTGCAGCAATCTGGTCATGAAGAAATAAAAGGTTGAATGACAGTTTGTGTGTTGCCAAATATCACTATGACATCTGTACCTTCTCCCTTGATTTTAAAAGGTTTACTGACAAGGACGTGGTGTCTCCTGGTTCACTGAAATGTCATTATCAGTGCTTGTGCAAGGCAGGCTTCAGGTTTCCACATAACGATTACATGGGTTGCCTTTTAATGCTTGTAGGTCCACACCTTAAACTTAGCCTGTTTGGGTTGACATAGAGCAATTAGTAATATTCAGAAGAATAATTTTAAATTGTGTCAAACTCTAAACATGCATTCATTTTTGTGGAAACAAATGGCTGTTTTGATATTTTTAGACAAGAAAACATCTGATCCTTGTCGATATATCACCTTTGGATTAACATGTTCTGCTCTAACGCCACAATAATAGCTTTGCAAACTTTTACTGAACAAAAATGTTAGCAGATGTCAGTCTGTGGAAAAATTTACACCCTTGTAAATGTACCAGCATTTATAGCACACTGCACACTACAAGGTACACACATACACTTCATCTGCCTCACAGCCACAACCAATTTGAATCCACCAATTACATGTAAACATATGTGTTTTGGCTGTGGGAGGAAGTCAGAGTACCTGGAGGAAACCCCCAAATGCATAAGAACATGAAAACTTCAAAGAAAGACCCCAGCTGGGTTCAAGCCAGGAATCTCCTTGCTGTGAGTCAACAGTATTAACCACTGCACCATCCTGCTGCCTTGTCCGCTGTAGCAAGATTCCTTGCATAATATTCCACCAAATTCCAATTTTTTACTCTTCCATGCAAAACTCCCTTCTGTTGCAAGATGTTTGTTTGTTTTTTTCATTCTTTCTTACATGCATTGTGTGTTTTGGATTTCCCAACAGCATTTCAGTTGGATTCAAATCTGGGCTTTAATTAAGTCATTCCGTAAGCCGTTTCTTCTTTTTTGAACCACTCTTGTAGATTTGTCAGTGTATTAAGGATCGTTATCTTGTTGTAAGGTCCACTTCCAACTTAAACTTTGGGACAGATGGCTTCACTCTTTGATATGATGCAAATTTCATAGTTGAATCAATGACTGCAAGCTGCCGAGTATTAGAGACTGTGGAGTAAACCAAAATCATAACTTTTCAATCACCACGTTTCACAGTTGGCATGAGAAGCTTCTTCCAAAGAAGCTGTCTTTGGTCATTGCCAAACATGTCCTTTACTGTGGCCAAACAGCTAAATCTTTTCATTAGACTGTCCACAGCACATTATTCCAATAGGCCTGGTTTTTGCCAGTATGTTCACTGGCAAACCATGGCTTTGTTATACGGTTCTTTTTGGAAAGCAAAGGGGTTTTTTTTCTTCTTAGTTCGCCTTACACGCTGCTCAAATATGTGCATGTATTATTGATAGTACATGCATGGACTTCTACAGTTGCAAATGAAGATCTTGTGGCCGGGTTCTTGGAAACTTCTTTTAACGTCAAAATCTCTGCCAGTTGTTTGAGATCTATTTGGAGAAGATGTTCGTTTCAGAGAAATTACTTATTTCACAAAAATGTGGAAATCTTTTCAAATCCCTTACCAGAGTTACACACATCCACAACCATTTTTCTGAAGGCCCCAGAGAGCTCTTTAGATCTTGGCATGACAGTGCACCCTTCAATAGCTGAGAAAACATCAGACCCTCCATGTCAAAGGGTTTAAATAAGATAGCTTCCACCTGTCGACCCCAAAGGAGGATATATTCATTGGGAGTCAATCTGGAGCTCCCAATTTACGATTTGAAAGTGTACAAAATATGTGTACTTATTTTTTGCTTGTGAGTTTTTTCTTTGATGACTTTTTTGCAGGCACGACTGTTTAGTTGTTTAAATATGCTGAAAAGCGTGGTACACATATTTTATTTTGTCCTGTGACTGCAAATCATTCTGCACAATTTAAGTCAAACATCAGTAACATTAACCAAAACACATTATGTTTTAGTGAAAGGTGACCTTAAAGACCATCCATCAATCCATTCATCTATCCATTTTTTTTTTCAACCTATTGTTCATTCTGTTTCTGGTAATTTTGCTGTCACCGTTCCTGTCAGACTGACTGGATTAATGGGCACGTGGGCACAAAATTACTTCTACCAAAGCAACACAGCAGAACACAGAAATGTCTAACCACATCCTGCCAGTAAAGACAAGAAAGCAAATCACATAAGACTGAAAACAGTGACCAATCCCACCCTGGTAAGTGACATCAAGAAGGATAAAATACATTTCCATGTGCATGCAAGCATATGACACAGAGTCTGTGCTGTTTGTGTGTTATGCTCAGGCACATGTGACAGGCTGAGAGCTTGTGGCTGATGCTTGTGCTTGTCGGTGTGCTATACTAGCCAATATGTTGTGCGTGAAGCCAGCGCTATTTATAGAAATAACAGCTCCGCGTGCTGCATGTTGTGTTTATGAAGGCTGTGAAGTCAGTTTTCACTTTACTTCTTAACACTGCTGTGGGATTTTTTTTTTTCAGGTGCCATTGTTGTTTTTCTGTTAGGGCAGCAGGACAAGGCAGCAGGACAAGACTTTAAATATCATAGTGAATAACCAACATCTGTGGCTGCCTCTTTGGTATGACTTAAAGTGGTATTTGGGGAAACCCTGCAGTTGATGTTTACCAATAATGCCGTGCTGAGCTCCTCAGTACTCTTCTGTCATTGCTAACAGTCATACGCCATTGAGCAGTGAGAGAGTTTCGGTATGCATGAAAGGAAGTTTTGTGGGCTTGCAGATCAGTCATAACTGAGAACAAAAAAAAAAACGCTTTCTCAGATTTTTGCTTTGAGTGTCACGTTATGGCACAGATATGCCAACTTTTCTGTCGAACAAGCATGGCATGCTGCTCTTTGCAACAAAGTGTGGGCACAGCTGGAGAGAAACAAAACAAAAATAAGGTGCTCGGTCCACCACCTTCTCTCCATCTGATAGAAGAATTCCCAGCATGCATTTGGGCAGTCAGTTGAGGTGCTTTCAGTGAGGGTGAGGGTCCTGCTGTGCTTTCAAAGCCTAAGACCTCAGTTCTAGAAGAATGTACTTGTATTTCTTTGATTCTTTTAACTCCTGGATATAACACCTCGGTTCCACACAACAATGCACAAATTCTGCAATATTAGACACTTCCATGTTTGACTGGTCGGTCTTACAATGGCATTTCTTCTGGATTATATAACAAGTTTATAATGGATAGAGAAGAAAATGGGTTCACACCTCAGACTCACAGGAAATATTTCCAAAATATATCCTTTTTTTGTTTACTGCCATCCATGTCAATGTACGGGCGGGCGTGGGGGTGGGTTGTGGCTTCAAGGTCGCTGAGTTTCTTCTGTGGTAATACACTCTGAACCCTGTGATGGTGAAGATCCAAAAGCAAAATCTGTTTATCACCTTACTGATGAGTGCACAGAAAGCACAAATGCACAACAGCATCGATACAGCAGTCGCCTAGGTGAAAATTCACTGTAATTAACATTTTATCAGAGGATTTCCCCCAGCAGGATAACACATGAATGGCTGGACAACAACTGTTCTGTTGCAGTAATTCCACCCACAGCCTATGGCTTGTTACTCGGCCTTTGGTAGCATGTGCTTGCCACTGTCAACAGATTAGCACACAGGCTTAAAGCCCTGTTCACAAAGACACTGTGTACAGAACTAGTCTGCTTCCCTCTCATTCCCTCTCTATCCTATGAATCTGTAACCCTCCTGGACTGACCCAAATAATTTCCCAGTTGACACTAAACAGGTCAAATAAAACTGCAAATACAGAAGTTACTATATAACCCACTGATGATAAATAAATAGCAGCTTAAAATGTTGACGCTACGTCCCTATTATTAGAGCTCACTGTACAATATATCTTACAGTCTCATAAAGGGTTTGTTTCAGATGAGGCTACATAAGTGTCCCTGTGATCTTTCATTTCAGCGCCTTCTAAATGTTAGTACCTCTTAGTGTACTTCTCACATTAACCTTCAAAAC